AGTTTAGTGTCTCCATCATTATCACTGGGGCATTAGGACCCACACAGACCACATGGTGACTGCCCCCTACTGACCCCACTAACATTTCTTCCAATAGCAACCTTAGATTTCCCAGGAGGTCTCCCATCCAGATAGATACTGGACAGACTCACACCCAAATGATAGTATCCTGTGGCAAAAGTTACTTGGCCATCAAGATGAGCCACCAGATGCAGGACTGAGGTATTAAAGATCAATCTTTGCCCAGTGCTTCCATCTTTGAGAAATGCTAAACTCTAGTTCCATTCTACAGGAGACGCACTGCTTCAAACTCTAGTTCCTAGATGAGTTTGGATTGACGTGACCTGTCAGTATAAGCTAAGAGCATTATCAAAAATAATCAGGGTGTGTCTCCATAAGTTAAACCCCATTAAAAAGTCTTTTTTTTTGTGCTTGAGCTATCTTTATTTCAAACCACTCCAGGAATCACACAGACTTCCCTGTCTGTATGAAAAAGGCAGTTGAGCTTTAGGGTAGTAGATAGATCCTATGTATATATTATAATTTAAAAGGCATAGATGTTGGACTTGGAGTGAGTGTCAGTTAATAAGCATGCTGTTTCAGAGCTGGGGTCTTGCTTCTCCTTTTAACAAACATATATGGGCACTCCTGTTTGAGGTCTGGGTCTCATTTAGATACTGTAGCTCTTCATTATGTAGTGGGTGGTGTGGTTTAAGCATCTGAAGTGCCAGAGACCTCATTCTGTTGTTAATTTGAATGGTGTACTCTCTCTGACTCTGACTCAGCCGTAATTGCTAGGTTGTAACCGTTTGTTTCTCTTTGATTCCAAAACAAGGCAGGGTTGTTCTGTTAGCTGAATGAGAAGTTCATGTAACAGCTCCTGCTCTTGGCAAAGTGACAGTCCTTGAGCGCGCCTCTTCAGCATGCTGTTCTCCTGCTGCTTCTGTAAGGTGAAATCATGTCATTGTTGAAGAGTGCCTCCCGACAGCACTTGTGCTCTTTGATAAACCTGCCTTCTCTACCAAGCAGTGTCTCTTCTTAGACTGTCAGAGAGCATGCTGGCGCAAATGCCATTCATTTTTCCACCTTCAGCATTCCCACTTTCTGGATTTCCAACTTCCATTTATCTCCCCCCCCCCCCACTTGAATCCATTACAAATCTATTAATAGCTGCACTGGTCTTTTGCAATAGTAGGAAATGAGCCCACATTCATCACCAGGGGGTTGAAAGAGAATGATGGTTTAAATGGCACAATGTCGACAACAATTCCTACCTCAAAACACAGGTAGAACTGTAACGGCAGTAAAGAAAGAAAAGCCAGCATATTTACATGACTACAGTAAATACATGCATATGTAGTATCCACTTACACCCATATGAAGGTAAAGCTTTAATCACAATACTGAGCACAACCTATAGCTTATAGTCCATGGAATTGAGTAAAACCCATGCCGATATTTAAGATTACTGTATTATTCTAATATTGCAATATTATAAATTCTGCATTAAACCTAGAACATTTTGTGCCACTTTCTGTCCCAGATCCAACACAGAGGTTTTAAGCGTGCAGTACCAGTTACAGAGTAGATGAATCAAGAGGGTCTCGAGTGCTGTTCACTGTTGTATTCCTGTCTTGGTTCGTTTAGGCCCTGTGAGCTGCCCACTGTCAGTGTCCTCAAGTGATATCTCACTGGCAAGATGAGATGCTCCAGCCCTGTGCTGTATGCAATGGATGGCGTATGTGTGTGGTGGAGAGGGAGTCACAGTGTTTTCAAAGCCAGTAATAAAATAGAAAACAATGGTGGCAGAAAACAGACGTGCATTCATTCAGCTCCAGCCAGCTATATTATTAAAGGGTGAAAACACAACATGGAAATCTCGTTTCTATGCCACGCTTCTATTTAATTTTAAAAATCCTTTGATTTTTTTCATTCTTATATTATTAAAAAAAAAAGCCAGCCTCCGACTGGGGGACTTGAGCTGTGTTTACCTGGACTTGTGCGTCTTTATCGCCTTCCAGCACATTCTCTCTCCTTTGTGCAGTGTGCTGGAAAGCTGGAGCTTAGCAGGCGAGTGCATTTTCTTTCTCTCGGTGGCGCTTTGAGATGTAAAACAAAACCTTCAAGGTGGAAGCAGGAGTCCTTTTCCTTCGCTTCTCCATTTTAAATAATTGAAAAGCGGGCTAATTAGGCCCAAATGTGTCAGCAGGCTGTTGGGTCTTATAAAGATGGGGTCACCTTCCTTGGGATTTGGTGTTTCTCTAGGCACCAGGGTGTTCCAACATCCTGCTTCTTGTCACTCAGCTCCCAATTAGTATGGGCTTCAGTGGCGGCTAACTGAGTGGTGTCGGCGGTCATAGTGCCGAGATGCCTTGCATCCTCACTCAGACGAGTGCATCGACATTACACGCTTTAGGGGTGACTTCAGCTATGCTGTGAAACTTATTATTGATATAGAATGTATTGATTTATGTTTTTCTTGTACAGTATTCAACAAAGAAGTAGGAATGCGTAGCGAAGAGAGGATTGTAAATGTACTTCAGTGAGTGAAGCTCTGTGGAAAAGATCTAATCGGGGTGCAGTAGGTGAAAGGGATTGTGGGTCATGCCCTACCCCCTGATGGACAGCATGAGCCACCGGAATTTTCATACTTTCAGAAGCTAGGAAGAGGTTTAGAATGAAATTAGAATGTTATTTTTACCTCTGT